ACTCTTTATATCTGGTTTGCCCTTTTCCTGCACTAAGGAGGAGCTGGAGGAGGTGTGTAAAGCCCATGGCAATGTGAAGGACATTCGACTGGTCACCAACAGAGCTGGCAAACCCAAGGTGGGCATCCTTAACACACTCCTGGATTTAAGGAATCTTTCAAAAAGAAGCTTGTCATGGAGTCTGGAGACAAAATTTGGGTTTGTTAAGTTGCCAGTGTGGTGTTGTATTAATACTTGTGGAAGAGCTTGGATTTATACAGCCCAGTGTGCCTTTGTGCAGAAAACCAAAAGGAATTTTTCCAAAATACTTCTTAAATTGCCTAAGAAAAATGGGATGGAGAAGGAAATGTTTACAGCACTTTCAGTATAGTAAAAACAGGCAACTCAGTAAAAGATTAGTTTTTAAATAACTGGCTAAATGGGCTTTACCTGGTGCAACCAATTCCCATCCTCCTTTCTTCAATTTCCTGAGGCTTTTGTTCCTAACATCTGCTGCAGGAAGGGATTTGCCAGTGACAAATGATCTCCCTCTCTGACAAGGCTCATTATTTCCATCCCTGAATAAATGACTCCTTGTTAAATAAGGAATTCTGAACCAGCTGCTGCTCTGCCAAAGTTCTACCTGACACCTGGGCTGTGTCTGTGTGGTGGGTCCTGTCCACAGGGACATCCTGGGAATGGTGTTCATGGATTTAAATGGAATTTTCTTGCCCTCAGGTGAAGTTCCTGTTGTGTGCACACCTTGTAATGAGTGCTCTTGGGAACCCCAGCTCTTGTTCTGAGCTTAGTTTGAGCAGGGATTGTGTGTAGACCACAAATAAATGTATTTTGGGAAAGTTATGTAAAACCTGTGAAACTGGATAATCCAAAAAATGCAGCTTAAGGCTTTGAATGTCATTTAAAAATGTAACAGCAGGGAGAGGTGATGCCCTTCTTTGGGCAAGCCTGCTGGGGTACTTTATTGTATTTTATAGCATTTTTAGAGTGGTTCTTTCCTTTTTTAATACTTTTTCTATACATGAGGGCATCAGGAGTGAGAGACAAGAAATTCAGGTCGTGAGGAGAATGATGGTTGGGAGTGATGAACTTTGGGACCGAGCCACGTTGAGTTTCCCTCATTTACAAATTCCTCATCAGCTGTTACAGAAACACTAAACCCTCACGTTGGTTCTTTCTTTCCTTAATTTAGGGCCTGGCTTATGTGGAATATGAGAATGAAGCCCAGGCCTCTCAGGCTGTGCTCAAGATGGATGGGCTGACCGTGAAGGACCACGTCATCAAGGTGATGATCAGCAACCCCCCTCTGCGGAAGCTTCCGGAACGGCCCGAGCCCAGCAAGGCCTCCCTGGCGCTGCCACGGCAGATCTATGGAGCGTGAGTCAGGGAGGGAAATACTGCAAAAGGAAAGGAAATGCTGTGGTTCTTTATGTGCTGAAGTTGAGGAATCTTAGCTGGAATATGGGGGTTAGAAAAAGGAGGAGAGGGATTTTTTTATATGGGCAAGGGAGAAGGGGTTCCTGCAAGAGGGCAGGGTCAGGTGAGAGATTGAGAAGGAATCCCTGTGAGGGTGAGGGGATCCTGGCATAGGTTGCCCAGAGAAGCTGTGGCTGCCCCTGGATCCCTGGAAGTGTCCAGGGCTGGGTTGGATTGGTCTGGAGCAGCTTGGATAGTGGAAGGTGTCCCTGTCCATGGCAAGGGTGGGACTGGGTGGTCTTCAAGGCCTTTTCCAACCCAAATCAGTGTAGGACTCTGTGAATCTGAAAGAGCATTTAAAAGGTACTGCACTATTAAAAAAATGGGTTGTTGGATTGATGAGGAAAAGATTTTTCCTCTTTACCCACAGAAACAGCTCTGTAGCAACAAGAGGATGAGGCACTGGCCATCCCCTTGGATCTGATGTTGGACTGATCCCTGATAACCTCTCCCTTGGAGAAGCAGCCATTGTTCCCAGTGAGCATTAAGGCTGCTCCTTCATCTTTTCAGTGTTCCTGTATGGGATGAGCCCCTGTGGATAAACAGAGCTTCAGCCCTGGGGACTGTGGGCAGTTGGTGTCTGCCAGAACTCAGGGATGCTTCAAAGACACCCATGGAAAGCTCTATCCCTGATGCAAATGACAGGGATGACACTGAAGTGTGCATTCCTCATAGCAAACAAGTCCTTGTTGTTCCCCCAAGCTCAAAGAGGTTTTTTAATGGGGATTTTTTCCCTTGCAGGCGAGGGAAGGGAAGGACACAGCTCTCCATGATGCCCCGGGCGCTGCAGCGTCAGAGCAACCCCGTGGCCAAGGCTGAGAATGGGATGGTCCAGAACTCACCAGCAGTGTCCTCTGAGCCCCCTGCAGAGCCTAAAAAGATGTCCAATGCTGATTTTGCCAAGATGCTCCTGAAGAAGTGAGCGAGGAGTGTGCACTCAGCGGGTCTGGTCCAATGTGAAATGCCTTTCTGGAAGCCATGTTGTGTCCTTAAGCTTTGCAAGGAGAGAATGCCCATCCCAATCCTGTGTAAATACTGGACTGCTGCATTCCTCGGGATCAGTGGAGGATGGCACAAATCCAGGTGGTGGTTTTTTGGGTTTTTTTTTGTTGTTTTTTTTTTCCTCTAAGAGCAAAGAGTTACACTTTTGTTCTGTTGAAACGGCGTTAATGTGATCCCTCATATTGAGGGTAACGAGGGGGGAAATATTTCCTGCACAGCTCGGATGCCACATGGAGTTTTTTGGAGTACTTTCCAACAATTTTCTCTTTCATTAACGAATGAGATGCCATGGGAGGCCCTCAGCAAGCTCCACTGGTCAGCTCAGATTGGGATTGCAGACATTCTCTCTGCCAACAGCCCCATTCTTCACCCAAACCCACGCACGCAGGGACTGTCATCTCCTTCCATGCAGAATCCAACAGCAGATGCTCCAACTTCACCACAATGGCCTCTTTTAGTATTGGGAGAGTTTCTATACATATGTGTGTATATGTAGATACACAGATATACATATATATGTATCCAGTTCCTGTTCTGTTCCAGTTGCCCTGTTTTTTATATGGTGTATTTGTAAAGGACATTGAGATGATTCTTTTTAAGTGTCAGGAGCTGATCCTTAGGTGGTAATTTCTGTTTCCCATGAAGCTGGACGTGCTGTTGCTGAGGACCAGGTTTTTTGGTTGTTTTTTTTTTTTTTTTTTGGTTGTTTTACCTAGCTAGCTCATGTCTTTTTGCAGGTGGTTTCTGTATGGTTTTGTACAACTGTGAAGTGCAAGCTGACGTTTCTCGGTTTATTAAACTCAAGTTCTCAAAGGTTTTCTATAAATACTGTTGCTTTTGTTGAAATGTGGGTGTTGGAGCTGCACTTCTCCTCTGGCAGGTGGGTGATAGTGATGTACCTCACCTCTCAGGTGTGCTCAGTGTCCCTCAGGCCTTGAAGCTGCTCATTCCTTCTCTGAATATCCTGAAATCACCTCAGACTTTCCAACAGTGGTGTGACTTTGGCTAGAAACATCCCTGCTTGTCAAATACCCTGGAAGTCACCCCCCCAGAGGGGTGGGTGTGAGGGGGGACCCCAGTGCTGAGTTCACTTGGACCACACTGCTGCAAATAAACACTATTTTCTGTGCTGATTTCACTTGGCTTTACTTTGAAATGATGATTTTCATGCTGTCACAGAGCTGAGGGAACCAGGATCCCTCCCATGGCTTCTCCTCCTCCACAACCACTTAGGTGACTGCAGCCAAGTGTGCTCTGACAACAGCCTCTTCCAAACCAAGGCTTTCATATTAAAATAGTTTATTAATCTGTTACTAAAATAACATTTTCCCCCCCCCCACAGAGCTCTAAAGTGCATTATTTATACTCAGGTTGCACTACAAAAATAACATGCTTTGTAAAGACAGGACACCTTCCCTCCTGTGTTGTCTGCTTTCCCTGGCAGCAGTGCTCAGAGAGTCTCATCCTGGTTTCTGCTCCTCTAAAACATGTCCTAAGCTCCCTGTCAGGTAAGAGAGAGTTAAAAGGGAAGAAAACGAAGCCTAGGACAACCTGGCAGCTTTTGTCAAGGGGTTAAATGCTCTACACTGGGATTTTAAATGGAAGTTTTGTGAGCTTGGAGGTGGTGGGGTCAATGATGCTGTTACAGACCTGGCAGGTTTGGAGTAGGGAGATCTGTGGGTACTTTTACCTTAAAAACCAAGGCAAAGGGGATTCTTTTGATTCAGTGCAGCTCCAGGCACTGCACTGCCCCTGCAGCACACAGAGGCCTCGAGTGATTCTTGACACATTTAGCAGAGTAATGACGTGACCAGTGATTAACTGTGGAAGTTCCCTTACCTAGACCAAAGAAATGGAAGTTTTTGGCAAACTTCCTGTACACATTCTTCCCAAACTGGCACAACTGGTGTCTCCTGGCTCTGCCTGATGACCTTTTCTGCCCACAGTTCTGCAGACAAGCTCCTTCCAACCCCTCCACTGAAATGTCTTAAGGACAGTTGTGCTTTCCCTGGGCTCCTCTTGGCTGAGATTTTCTGAGCCCTCCCTCAAGTAAGTCAGAGCTTTTCTCCTCTTGTTCCCCTCCTGTCACCCGGACCAAACACTTCCCACTTGTACAAAACTCACCCCAGGAAAGGCAGCTGAAAGTAAACATGCAAAGTGCCACAGGAACAGAGCTGGGAGGGGAGAGATGCCTTTGGGCTGCAGTTCAGCCTCCTTCCTGCTCAGCACCTGTGTGACTGACACCAGAGTGTCTGGGGCACACAGCTGGGAGAGGGCTGTTCCTTCAGGGATGTGTTTTGGAGCTACAGGGAAGAGGCCACACAGAACCAACTCAGTTTAGACTTTGCTGAGGTCAGACAGTAGAGCTGGCTGCTTGGGTGAAGGGTTGTGATTGAAGCAGCTCCTCAAAGCTTATTTCTAAGGAGAAATTCAATTTCAGTTCATCTTTTTGAGCCCTCTGACATCTCTCCCCACCTCCTTCCAGCGCACGGCCACCATCCCCCAGCTCCATTTGGCATCGTGTATATAAATAAATTATATTAATTTAATCAAATTTAAATAAAACACTCAAGTGCCACCTCCCATCCAGTCATTTCCCAGCAGGAACAGCTTGGAGTTCTGTTGAACTTGCCCCAGACCCTCAAGTCTTGACGGGGATGGTTTGTTTGGAGCCAGCCTCGGGCAGGCCCACGGAGTACTCGGTGGTGGCGATGAGCAGCATGTCCAGCGTGGTCTCGGCGCACTTGGCGATGAAGCGGATGAAGGGGCGCACGTCGCCCTCGTTGGCCACCTCCAGCACGTGGTAATACTCGGCCCG